TAGTGGAAGTCCAAAGGGAGTTCCTTAGAAATGTCGCCTTTGGCAATACAAACACAGCACGCAAATGAAGTTGATTGCTCTTTGCTGAAATTGGGACACTTTCTAGATGAAAGGATTATTAAGAGATTTTCTAAGAGAATCAGAAGTTTTGCTATTTGCGACAGACTCAATAAGTCTCGCATTTTATGGCCCAAGTTTTATTCGTATTGTTTTGTGTGCCCTGTCCCTACGCCCTTGTCTTTCTTTCTCTCTCGCTCTCTCTCTCTCTCTCTCGCACTCTGTCTCTGTGTAGTTTGTAAACTTTGCACTTCGTGCCATAAAATTATATAAAATATATCCTCTCGCAGCCGCTCTTTCGTTTGAGCTGCTGTCAATGTCGTTTGCTGCCAAAAAGTTGAAAGGATACAATTTGTGGTACCATCAAAACAATGCCTGAAGAGCCAAAAAAAAAGGAGTAGATACGCTAGAAGTAGCACAAAACAACTGTGCACTGTACCCTCAATTAAGATAGGATGAAACAACTTTTGTATGTAGAGAAAAGACTCGATGTATTTTTACTATTTTTCCCCCTTATTTACTATTTTGTTTGTCATACAATAGCAGTTTGATATCAAATAGGCTAAATTTATAAGTGTATGTATAAACAAGTGATGTCCTGTTTAATTGATAACTGAAGCTCGATAATTCTTATTAATAAATTTATGTTCGAATGCTTCAAGCCCAAAATTGTTCAAATTAAAACAATTATACTTATAAAGCAAATGACAAACTCATATATTATGAGTAACTGATTCAATATTATTATGGCAATAATATATTTACTTATGTATATACTTTTACAGAACAATGTATGCAAAATTGGTTTAATAGTTTATTTAAGCAACAAAAAATTGAGTGAGCACAGAAGGTTTCCCAACTTCGAAAGGCGATGAGCTCTACTCTGCTGTAAGCATTGTTATTGTAAGCATAGTTATATTGTTTCAGATTGTAACAAGTACAGACAAATTGTCCAAGACATCCGGCACAGCAAGGCTAATGAGGGGCCAACGAAAAGTTGGTCAAAATTGTTGCACTGATTGTAAATTAAATGCTGAGAAGCACTACCGACAAATTTAAAAAACATTACGAGTAATGGGTGTGAAGCATTTATAAATATCAGTTCTCAGCTGGGGACAGTTGACAATAATTTGCGCAGATTAAAGAAATGAGACCCCTAACAAAGAGCTGTGCATAAATATGTACCCGAAAATTAGAATATATATTAGATGTATATATTCCACTTACTAAATAATGCAAACATTTTAAGCTCATCCAATTTTTGCCTGTCACTGACGACAAATACGTAAATGACAAGCGAAAAGACATCTTAATGAGTATATATGCATGTATGTACATATACTTGTACATATGATTTAGCTATATGCCGAACCGATATATATTCCCACAGTCTGTCCACTGAAAATAATTTCTTACCTCATCGAGAACGTTGATCTCGCGTGCCTGAATCCGAGCCACGTACCACGTACCACGTACCACACCAGGGAGCACAACTTGTGCTCATAGTGAGTTTATTTAATTTTAAAAATGATCTGTGCTGCGACGAGCAATTTTGTTTTCTAGCGAACTACACCAACTAAGATGCCATACAAGAGATCTAAGCAGATAGACATACATACATATATACAAATACATACATATATGTCTAGCACAAAGAAATGTTGAAATATATTTAAATAAAGTAAAAGTAAAAATGTATCTTTAATTATTCAAATATTTGACTGTCAAGCTATTTACTTGGTATTCCCCAAAACTTTTGGCGTTGAAAAATTGTGCAGAAATGTGATTCTATCAATAAGTGAATATTTATGATGAGAAATTGTTAAACAAAAATAAATAATAATAATAATAATAATAATAATAATAGTTACAATTTTAAAAAATATTTTCAAACTTTAAACCGTTTCAACTTAAAAAAAAATAGTTTAAATAATTTTGTATATTTAATTTTTTTATTATTAATTTGAGTAAAAGAATACAAACTATTTACAATGTTATCAAAGTATATTTTTTTACACACGTATAATATAAACATTTTTTGAGAAAATTATTATTTTTTCTCTACTATTCGCTCTTGATGATATACGTTTTTTTGTATATATCAAAAATTAGCTTGTACTTGCAACACAAGTACTTGGATATACTTTGTAAGTTTTCAAAGCTATATATTTGTTTACAATATCGAAATGTTGTCGCTGACCAAATGGATATCACAATACCGAATTTTAATGTAAAAGCGAGAGCGCCTATTACGCCGAATATTCAATACACTCTCTAACTTTAACTGATTGGTTAATTTTTGAAATTCATTCCGACAGTTGGACAACGACAAAATATACTTTTTTTTATACCTTGAACCCATTGGTTTCTCTATTTTAAGGTCTAAAAAATTTATTTAACTATGTATATCTAAGTACCTAAATTACATATTTGTTGTCAAGAAAATGTTGTAAAACACACGTTGTAGAACATCAATTTTAAATTAAAACAAGTAAGAAAGCTCTAGTTGAGGCAGCTCGACTACGAGATCCCCTGAACCCTTTAAGACACTGATATTTTAATAATAATAATAATTAAACATGCATTTGTGGCAGTGTGGGCTTATGAATGATTATGGCCTGAATTTGCATGCATTTACCATACCACAATTCCCTAGTATAATAAATACGCCTTCTACAAATATGTGAGTGAGGTGGTAGATTGTTTAATGAAAACCGAAATTGTATAAAATGCAGCTAAATATATGATTAATTAATTAATTTGGAGAGTCTAGCTTTAAAGATGTAGAAAATCTAATTTTTTTTTTTTTTTTTTCAAACTATATTCTATATTTCTCTCATTGTTATTTTATATTTTTCCTATTTATATTATCATCAGCTTATATTTATTATTCGATATACGAGTTTACCTCTATATAAAATTTATAATTATACGCGGGCTTAGGAATATCTAAGCAAAATATTTACTTCAATTCCTTGAATAATTTTCTTTCAAGTTCGAATAAAAACCCAGACAAAGTTTTAATGGGCGAAATGTATTGTGCAACTGTGGAAAAGTACAAATGTATTTGGATATATGTAAATGTATGCATGTATATACATATTCGCTTTTACTAAGAAAAATGTGTTGAAGGTCAATTCGAATAACAGCTGAGGGAGCTTCACATACTTATATACTTACATACATATGTACATACTCATATACATGTGTAAATAAGCATATGTATAGGGGCGAGAATGAATGCACATGCATGTACATATGTAGTGTGTGTGCGTATGTATGTGTGTTGTGACTCTTGTCATATGCTTTTCGTTTATTTGTTTGCTTGTTGAGGCTGCTGTTGATGTTGCCATTTCGCTTGTATTTTTTTGGCACAAAAGGCAACGTGCATTAAAATTGATAGCCTTTGACACGACTGCGGGGTGCGCGGGCAGCAGAAGACCTTCAAGCAAAAGACGAAATGGAATTGACAGTCACTGTGAGAGATGGCTTCAAAAGCTTTGCCTTTTATAATGCACGCATACATGCACACTTATACGCCTGCCCGTACTTGCCTCTATATGAATGTATAACTGAACGAGTGTATGAGAGTGTGTGTGTATGGCAGCTTTGCACTTTGCTTTTTGCCGCCTTTGCTCTGGCAGCTGTTCGCAGTGGTGCCAATATGTCTGCCATAGCAAATATCAAATCGTGTTTGTGTACCTGTGTGTGTGTGTGTATCTGTCTGCTTGCTGGCTGTATACTCAGATAACTGCCAAAACAACAACAGCAACAATTACCTCGACGAAAGAAGAAACGAAAGCATTAAAATAACAAGAAGACATGAAACTTCGTGTCTAGCATAATTTGCAAAAAGTAAAATATAAATAAAAGCGCAAAAAAACTGTGAAAGCATGTTAAATAGAGCCAAAACAATTAAGTTGACTGAGTCAGTAACACAACCAAACGCACACAGGCACATGCATCATAAATAACATCATTTTGGAAAACATAATTTAGACCTAGACTTCAAAGATCACTTTACCAGTAGCGTTTTTGAATGGAACAGGTAAAAATTGATATAAAACTAAATGTCAAGAAAGTCGCTATTTCTCTCTAATTTTCTCTGTCTTTCTCATTTTCTTTCCATCCCTCGCTGCCTTTTCCCTCTATTTCGCTTTCTCCTTCTCTACGCCTGTTTAATTTTCTTTCTCTCTTCCTTTGTCATAATCTTTCTTTTTATACCCTGAACCCATTGAAAATAGGAAATCAAGGTATAGTGTTTCAAATACTAGATACTTCTGCATTAGAATGTAAATACCATATAATTACGCTCTGAAAGTTTTATTAAGATTGTACGTCTAGAAATTGAATTATTCATCAAATAAATTATCATACTATTGCCCACACTGCAGCGCAGCCCAAGCG